TAATATTTTTGAATTAATCAAATACCTCTAAGTAGCTGACATTGTATATTTCTTGTCCAAACACCGGWGGATATTCATTGATACCAGTAATCTCCACACTGACTGTAACYTGGCTCGTCCTCACAATTACACCTCCATCGGTCACATTGATTACAAGTACGTAAGACTTGACTGACTCGTAGTTAAACAACCCTTTTGTTGTCACAAGACCAGAAGAAGAAACTTGGAAGAGTGTTGTGTTACCTGGGAATGAATTGATATAACATCTATACTTTAAATATGATAGTCTCCTTCACGTTTCCAAGCGCCATCTTGAAAGGTTAGCTGTGCCTTAATATTGAAGCGAGACGATAGACCTTTGGTAAATGCGCAATGATTAGATAGAAACCTTTTTTCAAACCTACAAGCAATTATTCCACTGGAAAAAATCGCGCACTTTAAAAGTTGTAAATCTGATATAAATATGATGTAAGTGCCCCAAATGATGTAAATTTGATGTAAATGATTTACATTTTGGACACTTACATCATATTTACATCAAATGTACAACATTTTTAAAGTGCGCGATTTTTTCCAGTGTTCACAGGTATCTATCATTGTACGTTCAACAGTCGTCTCCGTTTTAATGTRAATTGCWTCGATCAGCATTGCCAAACACAATTAAAARTCAATGGCAAACTAAGTGGGAAAGGCGCAGACCTKCTCATCATGTAAACATACCTGTGTCTATGGTATATAGAGCAATACCATTGGGTGATACATCGTTGTCRGTACATGAAATCTGCACCACTGTAGTTCCTGTWGTAACACCCTCATCTAAASTCTTGCTATAAATAAATGGATCACATRCGGGGCTGTTGTCGTTCACGTCAGATATCGTTATCAATAAACTTGCCGTAGATGACTTAGGAGAAACTAGATCTTGATCTGTCGCATTAATCTTTAATGTGTACGATGAAGTAGTCTCTCTATCTAAGGAMGTTTGGACAAACACCTTCCCGTCCAAAGGTCTTATGTAGAACTTGTTTTCACTATTTCCTGATATGATGGAGTAGGTGACTGATCCATATGCTGCGCCATAATCGTTATCAGAAGCACTGACGTTAGTAACGTAGTGTCCAATCGTAGCTTCTTCAGACACAACAGCTGTGTACGAGCCTCCATTTGTGAATACTGGTGCGTGTTCGTTGATGTCTGAAAAAAATGGAAAAGAATTTAAATCGAATGGTTTAGTGTATTTTGGCACTCAGTTCATGCCCACTGAAGCGCGCAGAGGACACTGCGCTTAGCCTTGAATCTCTCCTTTATCATTACTATACGTTTTTCAATCTTATATAATGATTTTTAACTGCTGCGCGAACATTTAATCATTCCCTTTATATGTATACACCACAGATAGCAGATTGACTAGCAGTCAAACGACTAAATCGTCCTCAAATTTACCAAATTCAGTGTGAAATACAAACCTGTTATCTCTATAGTGACGTAGGCAGTGCTGCTTAAAGGACTAATGGCATTCTGATCCGTTGCCGTGACAACCAAGGAGTATGTCTGGGTTGTCTCGAGATCCAGTGGAGTTGCAACACTGATGACACCTGCATCGCTGATGGAGAATCCTGTGTTTGTATTTCCTATAAACAAACAGTAAAGCTCATCAAACCAAGTCCTAGTTTCTTGTCTAAAGAAACACGAACGACAAGAAGTGCTTGCACGACGAAATATCGTAGATATACACTGGGCAAAAATACACACATTTTCGGATAGTTTAACGCTGTTTATAACACGTTAAATCAGCCTGAAATAAGTAAAACAAGGTGCGCGTTTACCTGATATGATAGCCATGTTGATAGCTCCGTTAGTACCAGAGTCCGCATCAGTACAAGTCAAAGACAAGATGGCTTCACCAACCGTTGTGTTCTCTGCAATACTCACAGTATAAACGGTAGGGTTGAACGTTGGTTTGTTATCATTCTCATCGCGAACGTAAACTGTTACGTTTACGTAAGACGATTTTGGTGACGTTGTGTCTCCATCTGAAAAAAATTAGATAAGTGAGGTATCTGTATTTAAGGTCGATTTACTGAGAATGCAACTTGACGCACGAGGTTTTACGTGCTCGTGTCATGCTTATGACATCGTTGTCGGAGTTTGATCATAAGTTCAAAAGCATGAACCAAAACGCACGCGTTTTGAAACGTAGCGACATTAACGTAAGGTACCATTCTGTTTTTAAATCGGCATTTACGTGATTACTTTTAAAACTAAAGGATTTTGGCAGGAATGAGATCTAACCTGTGACAGTAACCTTAAGACTGTACGATGTCGTCGCTTCGTAGTCYAGATTCTTGTTTAACACCAGAACCCCGCTGTTCTGATCTATATAGAACATCGAGGTACTAGATAATGAGTATGACAGCTGACCTTGTATACCGTGGTCTCCATCAGCAGCATCGATATCAAGCACAGATGTGCCAATCGGTGTGTTTTCAGAAATTGTGACGTTGTACAATGATTGGCTGAATACCGGAGCATGCTCATTAACACCGCTTACGACAACATCAATATGAGCCWTTCCAATAAGCTGTGAGCTGATTGGTGAACTACTATCACGTGCTTGGACAATCAAAGARTATGACGTCAGGGTTTCGTAGTCTAGATTCTTGGCAGTGGTGACTTGTCCATTTGAGGCGATGCTAAAGAAATTAGATGGATCCCCTTCTTTTATGCTGTATGTAATTGCAGCATTAGTGCTCAGGTCACTATCGGTACATTGAACTTGAGTAAGATTGGTACCAACGGTTGTATTTTCAGCTAGTGTTACCTGTGAAGACAATCGGTGATTTAATTGAGCTGAATAACTTAACGAATGCCTTGTTTATCGCGAGTGAGATTTGGAATATGTAATTGAATTAATTAGCATAAAAACATGATAAACAAACAAACAAACAAACAAACAAACAAAACGAATAGTAATAAATGTATTTTGTAAAGAAACCTTGTAATGCTTTGGAGAGAACAGTGGATTGTTGTCGTTCACATCTGTTATAGTGTGGCTGTTATTGGCAAAAATTGTTCAAATTGATGATAGAAGCATGAAACTTACCAGGATTACTAAGTTCACCGAGATAAACAATTCTGGATATGGATCCGGATCAAAATCAGTCTTGGTGGTGAGTACTGAGCATGCTCGTACATGAAAACGAGGGTGTAATTAAAAAACCCGCTTAATTATATCAATTCACACTTTTTATTTAAAAAATCTTTAAAGTAGAAGTAAATGAAATATTCTGTTCAATATTTGTCCAAAAAAGTAAGTCACGTGGTCTCTAAGGGGAAAATATCCGTAATTGCGGGATCCCTGTGGTGAAAAACTCCTTTTTGCATTTCTTTAGAAATCTATGCAATTTTTTCATGTTTTTTTTACACATTCAATCTAGAAATAGTTATATGTGTAGTTTTTGATATGATTTACAAGCAAGAGACAAGAAATGAATATCTGTAAACCCGTATTTGATGTCTGATAATACGCTCTACAAGGTCATGTATAACCCAAGTATGTTTTTATAGAAATGCTTCCTTAAAACCAAAAGACCTTATTTAAGTGGTTGAATATCTAACCTTTCTGTCTATTTACTGAGCAATATAATGTATTGGAAGAAACCTCAGTGTCTCAAACTGTACTCCAACCAAAGGTGATCCACCTAAATTTCATCGGCTACCAAAATGACCAAAACCACCACATCTCTGTAATTACTCTTGATTTTTATTCATGAATGGCCAGTCAGTTTTGCATCACGATCATGTAGCATCAAGCATCTGCCTCCTCATGTGAGCAGCTGCAAAACTGTCCATTTTGTATATTAGCGATGATGATAACACATCTGGGCCACATCAAAATAATGAATTCAATTTTAATTTATCATTTTTTAAATTTTCCGCATCAATGCAACAAATCGATTACTAATAATGTTCATTCTTAGTTTGTTTGAAAGATACCTGGATAGTTCATCGTCTTTTTTCATCCACTAGGAGAAATCCTTTGCAATCAGATGGTATCAGGGTAGATGCACCTTTCTACGTTGACCATGGCCACGTTTCTCTCTTGGTGAACTTTTCAATGAGTCGCTTCGATAATCATCCCATACAATTAAGATCAAGGCTTTTTTGGTTGTTTGAATCTGTTTCAAAATATCAGGGCCAAATACAGTGTCAAAGCCTATTTATCCATCAAATGTTCTGGATGTCCTACTGGTAACATCCGTCGAGGATAACTATATACATTCAGAAATGGCTTTTCCAGGATCTCCGTAGATTCACTAGCTAAATACTTGACCAGGTCTGCCTTTTGTCCACTTCTGAGCTTTCCTTTCTGAGCAATTGATAGAGGCCATGGCTGATTCTCGTATGCGAATGAGAAGTCTTCTAGATTACCATCACAATCAAACAATGTAGATTTTGGCTTTGTCTTCAGCAGGGAGAAATACCGTTGGAAATCAAAAAAATTAAGTGCCATGTACTCCTCGTATTCATATCTTTACATGTTCATTTACCGCAAGCTGGTAGAGCATCGGTAGTACAAAACCGAGGGTCGTGGGTTCGAATCCCAGGGAGGTCAGATATTAATTTTTCCGAATGTATTTCCAATGCTCTTTCTCCCGGAATTACCTTTTCCTAAGCACTCTAATTTTCCTTCATTTCTATATCATGTTTTTGTCTTTAGTAACGATTTACTTTGTCTGGGTTCAAAAGATATGAAGCTTGTTCTTCTTTAGTGGATCTGTTATAGGCATCTTTTGCTCACTGAAATTTTCTTTTGTGAATTTTTGAAACTGATCTTTGATCTCTCTGATCTTTTTCACAACTCGTAAACTCTCAACAATGACTAGGTCCATGACGTCTTTTATTTCGTGTGGATGGCAATAAGCTCCTCGCCTTCTTCTTAGAATAGCCTACCACTTACTTCAAATGCCGATACCAAGCTTTTTGACGTCCTTCATAAATGTACTTTGTACAGCAGGTATTTGCTCGTGATGCCATATGATCTTTCTCAGTTGTTGAGATATCTTCAAACTCTTTCGCTATTCTGGACAACTCTGGTCCTACTACCATCCATGCATCTGTAAGACCGACTGCACCACCTTCCCCTTTCACTAGTGCATTAACTTGATCGTGATAGTGATCTAGAGGGATTGAAAAAAAATTTGACTCTTGTTAACCACAAAGGAGCCCTTTTTTGAACTCACTATGGACGCTTGGATGTCTGTTCAGTAAGTAGATGGACGGAAAGCCACCTGGGGTAGTTTCGGTTGTCTAATACAAACAACCATGGTATAACAGTAATTTCATAGCTTGGAGGTATAATTCAAAATCGCCCTCCCTGAAAGACTGAAAGACCTACAATGCGAAACAAATTTGCTCACTTTTTATTCACAATTATTTCAAAAAGGATTAAAAGTGAAAAAAATAAAGAATAATAATTAGTGTAACAGTGCTCATCTAATACGTATCACATGTTTGACTGTCAGAAAGGAATCAGCAACACCTTGCGAAGCAACTCAACCAAAGTGTTACGCCAATCGTTTGAGACCAACCACTTTCCAAGCACTTTAAGGGCATCCATTTCGATATGTAAACCCTCAAGCATACAAACAAATATACCCTCACTATACTCTGGACAACTCTGGTCCTACTACCATCCATGCATCTGTAAGACCGACTGCACCACCTAAGGAGAGCAGAAACGAGAAGAACATTGATTGCCGATATTTACACGAGACAATTAAGCTTCTTAGGCCACGTTCTAAGAAAAGAAGGCCTTGAGGGACTGTGCACGGGTAGGATAAATGGAAGGAGGAGTAGGGGTAGACCTAGGAAGATGTATTTGGATTCATTGACGAAGATCACCGGGAAGAAGAAACTTGAGCTGCTGCAAGGTTGCCACGATCGTGCAGCATGGCCCAATATGATAGCCAACACCAGATCTGGCATGGCACAATGATGATGATGATGATGTACTCATAGCGTAGCATGCCCATTGAATCTGCTTGGCTAGGGCGAAGAGAGGCTCGTCTAACACAATTACTGAAATCGGGTTTGGGTTTACATAACTGCAGACTTGATAACTTTCATCAAATGTTCTATCATTGCCAGAGTATGGGCATTTTCTGTGAATATGAGTAAAAGTGAAATAATTCCAGGTGTATATGTTGTTATCGTAGATTTTGAAGCACCTATGCATTCCATGAGACGTTCTTTAGGCAGTCAATTTCGTCTTTACCTTCTAAGGCTTCTTTTCTTGTATATTCTAGCGGTCTAGAGGTTTTTGGAGCAGAATAGTTACTTGAGAGATCCAACACTGATCGTCGGATCGTTGAACGATGGAGTGCAAGGATGGTAGTTTGGAGACGCTTTTAGAATAGCTTTAACAATTGTATTAACAGGTTTTTCGCGTCCTTTTCTTTTCTTTTCCTTTCTCAAAAACTACACGTAAAACTATTTCTAGACTGAATGTGTAAAAAAAACATGAAAAAATTGCATAGATTTCTAATTGAAAATGAAGAAATGCAAAAAGAAGTTTTTCACCACAGGGATCCCGCAATTACGGCTATTTTCCCCATAGAGACCACGTGACTTACTTTTTGGGACAAATATTGAACAGAATATTTCATTTACTTCTACTTTAAAGATTTTTTAAATAAAAAGTGTGAATTGATATAATTAAGCGGGTTTTTAATTACACCCTCGTTTCCATGTACGAGCATGCTCTTTACTCACCACCAAGACTGATTTTGATCTGGATCCATATCCAGAATTGTTCATCTCGGTGAACTTAGTAATCCTGGTAAGTTTCATGCTTCTATCATCAATGTGAACAATTCGACCTTTTTTTGGTCGTTAGCAGCCTGACTATTATAGTTAGTGTAACTGTGACATTCGCTGACTTCCGGTCAGAGGTAACAGGATCATTGTCATGCGCCGTAACCATTAGCGAGTATGATGAAGTAGATTCTCGGTCAAGAGCAGCTTTAAGGCGAATAATTCCATTGGTTGCATCGATGTAGAATGACGAGGATGACAAAGAGTATGAGACTTCCCCTATGGAAAAAGGAAATGTAGTTTTGTAAAAAATAAGAAATAACCGCGGTACTCACGCTTTCTCGGAAACTTTTCTTTTTACGAAGTACAGTTTTTCACAAAATGTTTTTGTTTAACTTCCATCTGTTACTATACCTACCTTGTGGACCATTATCATCATCTGTAGCTGTGACCCTAATCAAAGACGTCCCTATGACTGTATCCTCTTGGATATTGTGTATATAACTTGATGACGTAAAGACAGGCGGATGTTCGTTCACTGGAGTCACAGCAATGCTGATTTCTAAGTGCACATGTCTTTGTAAATTGCTTGGGCTACTCGAATCACGTGACTTAACAGTTAGTGTGTAAGAGGACGTGGTTTCGTAGTCAAGAGCACGCGCAGTTGTAAATGTCCCGTTGGAATCAATTGCGAAGTCTGTGTTGGTGTTCCCTGATATAATACTGAAATAAAAAGTGTTCAACAATGTTTTGGATTTTAAAACATATGTTTTGCAGGCAAAACGCCCTCAAACTTTATCCAACAACATCGCATAATATAGGCTATCAGAAAAGTTGCCTCAGCGCGCGACTAAAATATTGTGTCGCCCAAAAATTTTGATATTGAATCGCTTAAACTTAACTGTTTGACTAGAGCATTGTTCTTAATTTCAAATAACTCATGTAATTAACTAGTAACAGTGGCACTATCAACTGGATTAGCTGCAATACCTATAGAATAGTTCCTTGTTCAACCCTTCATCGTCATCTGAACACGTGACTCGAACCACACTCGTCCCAACGCCAGCGTCTTCTGCGATAACAGCTGCGTACGACGTTGGACTACACACGGGGGAATTATCGTTGACATCAGACACAGTAACAAGAACTGTAGCGTTTGCAGTGTGTAAACCATCTGATGCCTTGATGATCAATGTATGA